TTCCTAACTAAAGAAATAACTGTTAGAGGTTTAAACCTTTCTGGTTCACCTAATAGCATTTCAAACATTAAGTCATGAATTATCAATAATTTGGGTTCTAACCAAAATGTTAGCTTACCGTTACAGCTTTTATTTAATACAATTTGTTGCAATAAGGCAAAATTAGCAAAGGTTGACATTAGCAATAATATCACTTGAAGTAGCTCAACTAAAGCTAGAGTTTAAATACAATAAGTGTAAAAAGACGAAGCTGAAAAGCCCAAACCAATGGCTTTGAGCAACAACAAGAAGACGAGAAATGCTGAAAAAATCAATCTCCAAATCATTAAGTAAATTGCATCTCATTAAGCATTTCATCGTCTATTATCCAATTACAATTTCTGATTGTTCAACAGGAATCTTTGCTTTTACAAAACTCGATATTTGAATTATTCTTGAAGGATTTGCAGAACCCGAAAAAAAGCATAATGCAAGTTGAGGCTTGAAAGCTGTTGAACAATTTTCTCAACTATTAACTATTAATACATTTAAATTACTGTTAACAGGAGAAAAGCATTTTCATTTACAATTACATATTCCATTGTTCTCAATATACCTTTCAGAATCTCAGGGGAAATTATATTCATTATCATCTCATTCGTGTTCATTGTTATTTACCATTACTAATCAGAAAATACTTCTTCATGTAAACCCAAAAAAAGAGAAGAGTTTAGTTTTTAATTTCATCTTCTTTCATGAAGAATCAAACTCGTTGAGAGGAAAAAGACTTTTTCAATTTAAAATTCATTCTTTCAGGGTAAACATGAGTGAAAGGTTAACAAATTAAAAGACTTGCGAGGCAGACATGAAATGAACTCAAAAGATCAATCTGTAGCGTTTCATGAATAGAAACATTTGGACGACAATTTTCATGATTCAACATTTTATTGGGGAAAAAATGTTTTTTTTTCTTTGAAAACATTTTCTTTGAAAGACATTTCCTAGCATTTTGATGGACACAATTAATGAAACGTGAAATTTAATTAAGTTGAAACGGAATAGTGTTTTTTCAAGCAAAATTGCAACTGAACAGGAAAAAGATTGAACAAATAAACTCTTCAATTCATTTACAATATTTACAATGTACAACTCTTTCACCATTATCATTATTCATATAAAGTTTATTTTTAGGTTTACTTTAAGGTTTCATGTTTAGTCAACATTGAATCCAATTTTATGGGAATCACTCCCAACTTGCAGGGATTCAGTGCATTTCGTTCATTCCTTTCATTCCCAGTGCTTTTAATTTTCAACTAATTTTCACATTTTTGTGGCCAATTGTTTCGGTTTGGAAAAAAGAAATTTTTCAAATTCTCATGCAAAATGCTTCGACTTATGTATGGATTTTATCACATTATCATGTTTGACAGATGAAAATATCGAAGCTTCATTGAGTTGATGAAAACTAATCTAATGAATGTTAATGTTGTTGTCATATGGAAAGGTAAAGAAGGTGAAAAAGGTGGGAAAATGATGAATAATTTAAAGAATGAAACTTGAAACTGAATTGACATTGAGATTGGGAATGCTAAATTGGGATTGACCTGGAGGCGAATGGTAATGGTTCAAGTAGAAGTAAACATTTTATCTCATGTTAATGAAGTTTATCAGGAAAATGATTTATGTCAACAGATCGACATTTCTCTGATCATTCCTTGTTGTCCCTTTCATTGCAATATCAAATAAATGAAACTTGAAACTTTATCTTGTAATCAATGATGGTTAGTGAGACAATAAAAGCGTTAAACACTGTAAATCGACTTAACATGAATCTATTTTGCAGAAAAATAAGAATGGAAAAGTCGAAAGTTGTTTTTTTATCTCATCAAAAGTAAATCTAACTGCATTTCCCTTTCATGTTAATCTGTTCATGGATTTGAAATATTGTTTTCATCTTCGGGTTCAGATAATTTAATTTTACTTCATTTTCACTCGGCTAATAACTGAGCTAATAATAGATGAACACTTCTTTAGTCAAAATATAACAGATGAAAATGAACTTGAAATGACATTACTTGTCAGTCAGACTTGATTCAAAACGCGAAATTAATTTAGATTTTCAGAATTTCTAATTTATTCTCAAGCTAAGGAGGACCTGCAAAATCGCCTGTTCTCGATTTTTTTTGAAATGGTACTTTTCAGACATAAAATTCAATGCCAATTCCATAAATCAAATCTATTTTTTTATATCATGCATAGTTTTTGAGATATCGGCCAAAATATCTAAATATCACATAGTATTAGTGACCTTTTAAACATAATGAAGATGCCGTCTAAGCCAGCTAAATATTGACATAATCAATGTAATTGAGCATGTTGAATAATATGGTGATGGTTTGGTTCCTCGAAAAATAGCCAAACAGGGTTAAAATTGTAAAAAACTGAATTTGAACAGGGATTAATGAGCGTCTTTTTGAAAATATTTAAAAAGCCGTCTAAGCCAGCTAATTCTTGGCAAAAATAGTGTAATTGAGTAT